TTTTGCAGGTACAGTTTGATAAATCCTGTTGTAAATCCGGATGCAGGTTTCGCGTCTTCTTCGCTGTTGTAACAGCTACACGTAGTCCTGAATATCTGTGATTGAAACGCCGTAAAACTCCTGAGCGGCTCTGCTCCGAGCTGGGCGACGTGCGAAGCCCTGTTGAGTTGTGTCGTGTTGCTGTGCTGGCATCCTATTTGTAGGACGTTTGCGTGTGTGTGGGTGTCAGCACGACTTTTTGCTACCGTATCAGACGGTGGACAGTCGATATCGGATGTGTATCGTGGTTTGTACCATTAGGGAAAAAAACGCGGTCTTGGGATGAAGGGCTTGCCTGTGAGCTGTGTAGTCAAGTTAGTCACGATTGTAGCGTGATTTGTGAGTGCAAGGGAAAAAAATAGATCTCGTGATCCAGCGAGTGGCGGTGACCTGTACAATCATGTATGTGGCTAAATGGTGGCTACAATTTTCATATACGCTAAGCCTGCTCATCCTTGCACCCAGATCTCCTGCAACCACAACGACATCGGACCTTCTACGTCGACGTAATAGGGTATTCAGGGAGTCAGAAAACTGGTCTTTGATTGCGTCAGAGCGACTGTCCTTTGGAGCATAATCAGACATTGTAAACAGATATCGGTCAATATCCCACTTGTGAGACTTTCAAGGACGTTGCCAGACGAACTGCATACAGGCGACTATCAACGCGTATATAGTCAAGCACGTATCCTTCTATCTGGTGACTTAGGATGATACCGAACTCTCCACATCCTGCGGCAGCAGCCTCTGGATTGCCAGAGGTGGGCAGTCAGAGGCGAGTGGAGAGTGATTGGGCGGTTAGCTCAATCACTGTGATTACATCTTGAATTATTGACTCTGATACATAACTCAATCGATTCCAAGCGAATTCAGTGTGGGAGCAAGAGCAGCTTGTTGTCCCGCTTGTTTCAGAGTGCGAGGATTGAAAGCATTCAGATGGACAGGATGCCGAGGTCTGGACATTGATTTCGAAGTGCCTTAGGCTGTCAGCGCCAGATGATGCGCAAATATTGCTTGTAAAACTGATGCAGGACGTCCAGAGTCATCAGTTTTATGAGCCGGGACTAAAAGGGAATTCAAGAAGAGAGTTATAAATGAGTGGGGAGAGGGGGAGAAAACGTGTGTGAAAGAGAAAGAAGCGAGGTTTTCGAACTGAACTGCTTTCGCTTGCCTACCCTGCTGTATGCAGCAAGTAAGGCGACTCTGCTGACGGCACTACGCGAAGGCTGATGGGGCCTGAGCTTGTTTGTATATGTGCGATTCATAGGGAGCTGGGATACTGTCAGGTCGCTCACATCTGGACAGGAGGACAATTGGGGTCCTCAACCAAAGCCTATGGCTCAAAAGACTGACTGCAAGGCAGCGGTGTTTGGCGGAGAAAGAAATTGCGTTTCAGTTTTTAGGGAACAAGTCGTCACACGTTTCAACCCCCAACCTGGAGGACCAGGAGACTGAGTCAGAACTGTAACCACTGACCAAGCTGGTATGACAGACTATGCGAGTGCCGTGGAGATATTCATACCGTCTCGGCATGGTCAGGTCCAGTTTCTTCGTCACGGACAACCGCCTAGAATGTTTATCGATGGAAAGACGAGTGGACCAATATTCACTGCTCCCACTTAACTTGTGTTGTGTTGCTATGACGTGCATGCAGTTTCAGTTTTATCTCCCATTCTGTCCGACGTACATTAGCAAATTGCGTCACAACTAGTAGGGGATGATTAATCGTTGACGAAATACGCGCATTTTCACAAAAGTACACTTTAAATCAAAAGATGTACGATGCTTTACTTCTAGCCAACAGTTGGAAACACAAACGGTTTGTGGGACGAAGTAGAATAGTGAGCCCATACACTGTTTACAAGCCTAATAGCTCATCGCATTATGCGTCAAACTTGGTGAATACGATATGGACCAAACCATTGCCCAGAACTAGTGTGTGGCCGTCCTCATCTAAGGGCCATCCATCTGTTGGAATTCGATAAAGTATTAACACCTGGCCAACGAGTGCAGCAGTCGACGTTTGTTCTCCCTCAAACAATGGTCCGAGTTTGATCTTCGCCTTTACATTCAATGCAACTCCCACGGAACCAATCATGGGAAGTCTATCGTGAGGAGGGTATAACGAAGCTGACCAGGGTCATTCACAGGGACATTCACAAAGACTGAATACATTTCAAATCAAACCCCATAGTTCTTTTGGAAAAAATATTTTGTGGATACTGAGTAGTATGAAAAATGTTTGTGATTGTTGAAAGGCTCAGGATTTTGCCATGTGGTGTTTAATGTGAAAAGTTCAAAATCAAAACACGTCGTAGTGGAATCAGATGTTATAATTTGATGTTTCGGTTGCCGTGTGAATCTTTTTTAAGGATTCCCGCAATTAAATGATTGTAGAATGGATTTTCAGGTCAAAAAAGACTTACAGCCACTTTTTGATTAGGATCATTAGGACACTGCGTGATCTGAGCGGCCCGTCATGAAAGCGGTGATGGTGCAGGTTTATTCATGTTCATCCACCAGAACGTGTGTGGAGTTGACAGATTCAGTGTTGATATTACCGTCAGTACAGTAATGGTATACAATATTACCGACTTTTTCATCTTCTGTAAAGGGTACCTGTCCAACATAGATTGCTAGTTAGATGCTAGGGAAATAAATATACGCAAGTCCCCATAGTTTACTATAATGTTCGGGGTAAATGATGCCACATCTACCTTGTGCTTTGAGAATGAGATAAGCGGTCGGCTTGGCAACTAATGGCTCTCAACTATGCGCAAAAACAGACCCAGGCAGGTGGTCAGTTGAATTATCACACTTATTGACCAGTCCTCCGGTTCTACAATGTAGGATACTAATATCCTCATCAATCGAGTCTACCACTTTCTGATTGGTTGTTTTCATTTAATAAGTGATTGGTCAGCTTCTCAAAACATATGCGCATCGCATTCCTGTGATTGCATGGGTTGATGACACAGAAACAAAGAAACACCTGCCTGCCTTTCAATAATGAGATCTTCTACCCCAGTGTCAAAACTATTCAACCAGTTTTGAAACGTTTTGTTAACTTTTGTTCGAATATTGAGAAAAGTGTCAAAAATGATAACAATAAAGCCCAAATTAGAGATAAATACACAGTAAGGGTGATCCCAGTGAGGGTAGGTATGTATTTGTCCAAAAGGAGGACAAGCCCGTACAAAGGCTACGTACGCTTGACCAGGTGAAAACAAACGAGCACGGTGATATAGGTTAATCACAATCAACCCGACTAATCTCGTTAAACATTGTTGTAAAAAGTTTAGCACATCTATCCGTTTTTTACGAGGATATCGGTGAAAGCTACTTTGAGTCACTATATTGGTCACCATAGTTGAGCTGCTGTATCGTCTGCTTAGTTAGCCCCCCACAAGATTCCGTGACGCGGGAAGATTTCATCACGGGAAATAAGGCTTGGATACACAACTTTCGGATCAAAAGTGTGTAGAGACTAGCATAAATGTTCCTTCTCTAAGCGGTCGTAAGCTAGTCACACCAGGCCTCGCACACCGTGACGCGGGAAGATTTCATCACAGGAAATAAGGCTTGGATACACAACTTTCGGATCAAAAGTGTGTAAAGATTAGCATAGCATTTCCTTCTCTAAGCGGTCGTAAGCTAGTCAC